TATATATATATATGTATGTATGTATGTATGTATGTATGTATGTATGTATGTATGTATGTATGTATGTATGTATGTATGTATGTATGTATGTGTGTGTGTGTGTGTGTGTGTGTGTGTGTGTGTGTGTGTGTGGTGCAAACAATGTTTTTTTTATATGAGACATGGCTTCGACCTGAGCAAAAAAAAAAATGCAAACAGGAGAGTGTTTCAGCATAAAGCAGGTTACAAAAAAAATCTCTGAATAAGCCAATTCCGAACCATGAATATTGTGAGAGTTTACTGTCGTGAATTGCCACCTGCCATCTCTTGGCATCTTTGTGCCACAGACTTATTGAGGGATTCACAGCTTCTGAACTGAGAACAAACGGGAATTTGCTGTAGTGCTTTTCCACCATCTCGCCGCATCTTGTTGACATGGAACTATGTCGAAGTACGTTGAGGCACTTCATTTTGTGTCGGCAAATTCCATAGAAATAATGCTGGGTTTTACTGAAGTGCTTTGCTAATTTCTTGTAGTATCTTGAAAACAAGAAACCATGCTGAATTGAGTTGAAGAGCTTCATTGAGAAACAAGTAGTGCCACAAGTAGTGCCTTGCCTTGCCACATACTGTATCTTGTGACATAAATAGGCAATTACAAGTCACGCAATTTATTCAAGGTTATTCACTATTAGCGCAACGACTAGCCCAGTCCCACTAAACTTTATGCATTACTGCTAATCATTGAAGCTTAATTACTGGTGAACTACTGTTGCTGTGACCAATTCTATATGATTCTGATCAAAAGTATGATTCAGCTGAAAGTTGGTGTTTTAAGCAAGCAGGGGAAGTGTAGGGGGTGTGGGGAAGTGTGACCTTTTGATTCCGCCGGCTGATTGCGACCTTCATGTCGCACTTAAACTTGGCCGTCATTACCATGCGGGCCAGACCGCCAAGCTGAGCCAGATCGATATGATCAGTTTTCTGCGCAGCGCGTGCAAGTGGATGATACAATTCAAGCGATTCCAACCCCTTTACTGCATTGATTCTGACCTTTTATGCACCTCAACTCAGTGATTCTGCAATTCAGCTTTGCGATACATTAAAGAACCTGTCGTCAGGCTTCCCGAGCATGATAAAACCCGCTTTCAGATTATACACAAGCCCAAGATAATAACATTTTCATTATTAGTGGGGGGGGGGCATATTGTGGATAAATTATTTTTTAATTGCTTGTAGACAAATAGTCCAGTGTAATTTCCCACTGATCAAGTGTGAAATTAAAGTAAAATCTTTTGTAAGATGCTCAGCTCCAAAACCATGTCTCTCAGCAAACTGTGGATTGTGACGAATTTGCATCATACCACTTCTACAGTACCTTGTGTTTTGTGCACTGGTGACTTGGCAGCTATGCTGGGCGAAGATTTGTAATTTTCAAGTGACATACAGACAATGCAGAAACACTGTCGTTTCAGCTAAATAGAGCTGTGGTGTCTCTGGATGCATAGATCGGCATTAGCTTCTGATTGCCAGCACATATTCAAACAATCAGCTACATTCTAGCACTCCGAACAGGCCGACATCACATCGCATGCAATTCTTCGGTATTGGTGGGTTTCGTGTTCGATGCAATGTCAACATCCGGTTGGTCAAGCTGCCGCGGTGAGCAATGGTGATTCATTTGCAGTCTGGACACGGAGGGTGAACATCTCCTGCTCCAGTAACATCACAGGTGTTTGTTTGCTTTTTGGAGGGGAAAAAAATAGCTGCTCGAGGGGCCGGAACTGTCACTAAGTTGGCAATGCTGAGAAGCACTCACTTTGTCACGATGCCTTCGCTCCGCCCCCAATCGTCACAGGAATGACAGCCATATTGGCATTTGCATGCCACTTTAAATCGTAATTCTTATTCTTGCAACGCGATTTGAATTAAATGTATTGCCTTTCCCGGTGCCCTGATTTCACCTAATATACACATTGTCTCGCTGCCTTTTACAAATTTTGAATGTTTTGAAGTTGTTTCTGGTGTGTTCCGCTCACATTAAACCGATTTGTTCTTTTTTTTCTTGTTTTAGTGTTTGAGGTGAAAGTCGGTGATCACATTAGCAAACACGGCAGCCAAAACACAGCTTCCGATAATTTGGATTGAGTCGTGAACTTGGTAGTATCAGATGTCCTTGTCGTCTCTCTCTCACACACACACACACACACACACACACACACACACACACACACACACACACACCCAAACATGTGCACACACGTGCACACACACTCGCCAGGGGAGAGTGGAGAAGTGTTGCAATCGAGATCAGATAAGAGCAGCTTTTCTGATTTGTGCTATGAGAAGTCTCATGTATCAAGCAGCCATCTAAGCTGGCTTATCCAGATACAACCAGGGGCACTCACACACACACACACAAACACACACCCGTGCGCGCACACACACAGACACACGTATACACAACCTGAAGAAGAAGGTTGACCGTGTGATCTAAAGGATAGCTGGCTGGAGATCAGCAAACAATTCCAAATCCGTGTTAGTCATGGCAGCTACTCTTTGATATCAAGAACATTCTTGAACCTTCAGGGGGACATTGTCTCTGTACCCTGAGAGGGACCACAGATGTTTGATATTTACAGCACAGGATCATACACTACATCTGTATTTTCTCAGACTCAGTTCAGTGGCTTTCTGACCCATCTGCTTTCGTGTTGGTAAAAAAAAAAAACAATCTGCAATGCAGAGAGACTATTTTTATTCTTCCGACACACTTAAAACACATTTAGTTAGTGATGCACCGATACGGTATCAGTACATCTGCAATTGTACTCATGAAAATGGGCTAATCCGATGACACAAATACCATTTCACCAGCTTGACATATACTGGCCTTGTAGATAGTGAACAGTTGTTAAAAAAAAAAAAAAGAAAAAAATCCATGTTTGCTCGTTTCAAGATGTTTATTGCCACTCCCAGGAGGTTTACTGTAAAACTAACACAATATAAAGACAGCTACATGTTGTACATTTAACAGTGTCATCTTACAAAAGTCCACTATCTTCAAGCCCACACATAAAAACATGCCATAGACAGGCTAAAGAAATTAGCATTGATGTTGTGGTATAAATATTCAAATAACCTAAGTGGCATCCTTTTGACATTACAGTTTAGTCTTGCAGTTGAGCTGTCATGGTCTTTTTTGTGTCTTTTCAATAAATTTGCATATCTGTAGATATACAACTAGGAAACTTGCTGTGAATGATACCGACTCACCATATGGCTTGAGTAGGATGTTTGTGGCTTTTTTACATGGTGTTTATCATTCACGCATCATTTTTTTCTCATCATCGCGACACACACTTTCTATTACCTTCAGCAACACATATTCCGTTTTGACCATACTTCATTATACATGATCTGCTGAAGTGTGAGGTGCCCAAACTTTTCCGACTTCTAACACGTTGGCATTTCTGTCCCTCATGACTGACGTGATAAACTGAGATTGATCCCCTAATCTTTGTATTCAACTCAAAAGCTGTGCTGATCTCAAATCCAAAGAGATTCAATGTTGCCATCTATTGGGGTCTGTTTGTCATTATAGTTATGTCGTACCTTGAATTTCACGGACAAGCTTGGCAAGATAAATGTCTTCGGCGGTGTATGTAAATGGTTTGATTTCGGTTGAAAAATCCGGATGACTTGTTTTCTGTCCTTCAGGGCTGATGTCCTCATGCTGTGTCCCTCAACGTGCACTGCTCTGCTTGTCCCCCTCGACCATTTCATGGGCCTCCAAGTGACCCCCGCCGTTCCACCCTTAGCCCCTCACCCCTAACCTTCCTCACCCGGCCCCACTCCCGACCCCCAACCATGGTGGCCCGCGCTCTCGTGATGGTGATGATGTGTCGAGGCGTGCTGCTGTCCGTCGGAGACCCGCCGCCGTCCCGCCGGGAGATCCGAATGGAAGGCGACCTGGTCCTGGGCGGCTTGTTCCCCGTACATGAGAAAGGCAGCGGCATGGAGGAGTGCGGCCGTGTCAATGAAGATCGAGGCATCCAGAGACTGGAGGCCATGCTGTTCGCCATAGACGCCATCAACAGGGATCCCGTTCTGTTGCCTGGCGTGTCCCTCGGCGTGCACATCTTGGACACGTGCTCGCGAGATACCTACGCACTGGAGCAGGTTGGTCGAACGCACAATGACACTCACCTAAATGAAGTCATACTTGTGAGGTAAATGTCTTCCACAAACCCAATGGAGGTTTGGTTCCCAGTCTGTGCAGTGGTTAGATTGCCTCACCCACAGGTTTCTTTGGATTCATTTCGATTATTTTGAAGTAAATATAGAATTTTGGGGGGGGGGAATTGTGGGGATGACTGGCATTGCAACCCTAAACACAAGTTTACGTCACAGTCTCCTCTTCAAGTCAGCAGTGGGCAACACTTTCTGATACTCAGAAGAAGGTGTTTATAAATATTATGAAACGTTCCACACTGTATGTCCTGATTAATATGCAGAATAAAATACACATATACAGGCAAGTTGAAATGAGAAAACTAAATACAAAAGTTTCCTGTTTGTACAAGCTTTTTTGAGAACTGAATGCATGAATAACTAAAAATGAATGTACAGTTCAAATTCAAAAGTAAGAAACTAAAGAAAGGGCCATATGAATATTTTCACACACATTAATAGCATTTATATGACTTGAAATAAATAAACACGTTGAAAATACAAAAAAAGGGTAATTGTTAAAGTATCACTTTTGTAACTGATGAAAATCAATTCATTAAATTGATGGATGAAATGAATGTAATAAATATTTATAATAAATACATTAAATAAATAAATATAAAGTACCTAGAACAGCAGTTTTAAATGTAAATTGGACATTTGAATGTGAAGGCTAAAATGCTGAGTGGAAAGATACTGAAACATGGGATGATATTGAAAAACATTGAATGATATTGAAAAATATTGAATGATCATGAAAGATGTAAAATTATGTGAAACAACATAATGATATAATGCAATGAATAAGTTTTCGAATGTGTCTTTGAGAATGAATGAATAATTTTTGGTCGGGTGTGAAAATTTTGCCTTGTTGAAAATAATTTCCAAGGTGAATAGAATACGAATTTGAAATGGGAACGACGGGAATCTGTTTTATTGTTTTTGGCATTGGGAATGAGTGGAGACTTTTGGGATGAAAAATGCTGCATTTTGGGGAAACCATGGATTGTTCGAATGAGAAAAATACGAGCCCCATGATGTGAATTTTGGGAATATGTGGAAATTGGATCGGATGAATTATGTGAAAGGAGATGCATATCAAAAATGTGGGAGGAGTAATAATAATAATATATTAGGAGCAATACGATAAAAAAAAACAAACAACAAAGTGTACACTATTATACTAAGCTATTTTTTTCTCTTTTTTTTCATATATGTGAGTTGTATTCAACATTTCACGAGTGAGATTCAAAGCAAGAGTTGTATGAAACATTTTGGCCCGACAAAGCTAATAATGCTCACGATGGGCTGGCTCCCCCGGGTACACTTCTGATGAGCTGCGCTTGCCTTTTTGTAGGCGTTGGAGTTTGTGCGCGCGTCGCTCACCAAGGTGGACGACTCGGAGTTCATCTGTCCGGACGGCTCTTACGCCTTGCAGGACGACAGCCCACTCGCCATCGCTGGCGTCATCGGCGGTTCCTTCAGCAGCGTCTCCATACAGGTAACACGTGTCAGTCATAACTGACCTTTTCTGTTGCTCGGATTAACGGCACGGACTGAAATGGACAGCGTGACGTTATAGGTAGAAGGTGAGCAATAATGCTTTGCTGAATTACTGAAAGACAAGCCAAGCAAACTTTTGTCCACGGATATAAAAAGTCTGCACCCCTCTGTTCAAATACCAGATACAATGAGACCAAGAGAAGTTATTTCAAAACATTTTATTTAACATTAGTATGACCCATAACCTGTATTTGAAAATAAATGAAACATTTTACTGAGGGGAAAAAGATGCCACATCAGCTAGTTACAGTAAGTTACAAATGTGGCGACTTAGTTACAGTCACTCTAGTTGCAGTTTGAGTCTGTATATACTTGCTGTTGAGTTCTATTCAGTTTTACCGAGGTGCAGTTACTCAGTTACGTTAGTTACTGAGTTCCATAGCCTTCATTACTTAGCTTGAGTTATGTAATTACAGTTACCTAGTCACCGTTACTAACTTAATTACAAACTGGAAATGTGATAAGATAAGAAAACCTTTATTTGTCCCACAATGGAGAATTCTATTTACAAATCAGATATAAACTCATGTTAAATGGGAGTCGGCACGCACCAGCCACCGTTTAAAATGTTTCTGAATGACCCAAAATAAAGTTCAGATGTTCAAGTTGGGGGTGGCATGGTGGTCGACTGGTTACAATGTCCGTCTCACGGTGCAGAGGTGTAGGGTATGATTCTGGCTTCGGTTGTTCTCTTACAACAGAGTTACAGAGAGACTGAAAGAGTTACAGAAAGGCAAAGGAGCAGACGTCCTTGAAAATATAATGGTCCATTCATGGAAATCCGTTGTTTTTTTTTTTTTTGCTTGAAAATTAACTATTTCCCAAAATATATCTTTTTGCCTTGGAATATTAGGTTGTAATATTTTTTTTTTGTAACAGTAAAATTGTTCTGCTTTTTTCATGTAATGTAATGACGTTATTCTGCTTTCCTTGATCTTTTTTCTCCAGATTTTTTTTAAAGCTGTGTTTTTGCCTCATAACTTTCAGAACTTTTGTCATCGTTCGTATAGCCAAAACATTCTTGCACAAGAATTTCCTCAGCTGAATGTTTTTTCAAACGTAACTTGTTCTACTAGCATTTTTTAAAAATAATAACTTTAACTTGCAAAAATTCTATTTTCTCATAAGTCATTACACCATCAAAACATTTCCCTTGTATTATTATCTCAACTTAATTCTCTTAAAATGATCACATTTCTTGCCTTACTTCAACTTGGTTCTTTCAAAACGCATTTTACTGTTTTCTATTCTCCTCGGTCACAACATGTGTTATCCCGTCAAGACCTTTTTGCCCCGAACAAGACTTTCTCTTCAATTTTTTTTTCATTCTTCTCATAAAACGTCTTCCCTCATAAAGTTTCATCCTCTTAAAATGTGCACTTATTGCCTTTAATATCATACTTCAAGCGTCTCTATTTTTGCGGGAGCAAATCCTGAGCTTTTGCTACAATAGACGCTAGAGAGAGAGAGAGAGAGAGAGAGAGAGAGAGAGAGAGAGAGAGAGAGAGAGAGAAAGAGAGAGAGAGAGAGAGAGAGAGAGAGAGAGAGAGAAGACGGAGGGCTGATTAAGCATTTGGCTCCCGATACTCGACTTGTTTGTTGACCTGTGAGGCGTCTCTGCCAGATATTTGTAGACTGTGTGCTGACCTCAGCCTCCTCCTCTTCCTCTTCCTCTTCATCTTCTCATCCTCCTGTGTCCCGGGGCAGCCGGTAGAAACACCATAGCTCTGTGTCTGATGTCGGGAATCCTCCCTTTGTTGAGCCAAGTGCTGCTCTCCTCGCTCAGGTTGTTGAGGCTATTGTACCCGCGTGTCAGGGATTTGTCAAGGGGTGTGCCGCAAATGGCCATAACATTAGGTATGCTACACAAAGCATATTTCATAAAAATCAACATATAATATGATAATAATATGGGCATGTGCTGCTTGTTGAGGGGGCAGCTATAATGGAGCGATGTGCTGCTGCCCTTTGCTGACATTTAAATCAACGTCCGGCTTGAAAGCATAAAACCTGCCCACGCCATCAAAAGCAGCCATCAATATGTGTCTGACAGTCTCTGTGTGGGTTCGTGTCAACATCAACATCAACCCAAATGCAAAAGTAATTACAAATATGGAACATTATTTGAAAGAAAATACAGACATATTAGGGGAAAAAAAAGTAGACTTGGAAAAAAATATATAGTCCCATAGTCACTTTGGAAATATATGTAATTATTATAAAACCCCATAATGTTGGTAAAATATACAGACAAAAATATTCGGAAAATTACGTAGAAAAAATATGCACAAAAGTATGAGGGAAAAAAATCTTTGAAAAAGTATGAATAGATTTATAGTGATGCTTTGAGAAACGAGGGACCTGAGTATGTGTAAAACCCGTTGTTCAGCCAGTGGTTTTTATTTTTCTTTTTCCCTCTGGCGGTTTATTTCTATTCTTTTGTTTTTCCCTTTTACCTTGCTACTATTCTTTATCGTCTGCGAAGAACTACAACTGCAACTGCGACTTGTGGAGGATTGACTATACTACTGTACATATGTCTGTCTTGGTGACCAAGGCCTTCAAACCAGAAGTTTAACCACAAAAATGTGGCTAAACTTGTAGAATTCTTTTTTATTGTATTCAATTTTGTCTTTACTGTACCTTTTTATAAAATAGAGAAAAAAGTGGAGTCCTATTTTTCTTCTTGAAAAAAAAATACATTACAAATCTTTTTCGTTTTTTGGGGGCGACTGGAGGTGGACATGATACTTCCAAATGTGGAAAGATGGTCGTAAAATGATTAGTCCAATGACAACATTGTTGAATAAGTTTTTCCAGAACTGTATATGATCATTTTGAATAATCATGTTGGAAAAGATTAGCAATTACATATTTAACCGAAATCCATTCACCGTCTATTTATTTTTATTTTCTTCTTTGTCTGCTCTTGTTGGGTTTTTTTTTTCCTGTGGCAGATCGCAGCAGATGGGAGAATCCAGCAAAGAATGGCCTTGTATTTATTTGCGTCTGTGCATGCATGTTTGATCGTGCTGTTTAAATGTCTTTGCTCCATCTGTGCCTGTGTGTGTGTGTGTGTGTGTGTGTGTGTGTGTGTGTGTGTGTGTGTGTGTGTGTGTGTGTGTGTGTGTGTGTGTGTGTGTGTGCGACTGTGCGTGTGGTTATGATACTTCCACTGTCTCAGAACGCTCCTCGGATGTATGAGTCAGTCCTGTGTGAACTGTTAGTGTGAGTTATGATTAACAATCCAAATTAGCCACTCGATAAATTTCAATTAGCTCAGCGATTTATTCTAAAACAAGTGGGTTCCGCTCACGATGAGGTTTTCCTCAGCAGTTTGAGGGCCGCCCTGCACCTCACCACAATGAAAGCACAGGGAGAGATGGGCAGACTATCATCATTTGTAACTAGCATGGGGCAGTAAGGTTAGACCAGTGAGATTTTGTGTCAGTCTTGGTTCAATTTAAACTGGGTGGAATGTTTACCAAATTGAAAATAGTGGATTTAGTATTGAATAAACGTTGAAAAAATTAGCATGCACGTTTTGTTGGAGAAAGCCGGACTACCCAGAAAAAAAAAAAAACACTTGGGAGACATGAAGAATGTGCAAATTCCACACACAGGAGGGATTCAAACCCAAAATCTCAAAATTGTGAGGCAAACATGCCATCCACTATGTTGACCTTGTAAAGACTTTGTTGTAATGCAGATTTTTTTTGTATGCTAACTAGACAACGTACTATAGAAAAAATCCATAAAAATCTAACTACATATCACCGTTACATACTTTAGATATGCGTGCGTGCATGCATGTGAGCGTGTTTGAGTGCGTGTGCATGCATGTGTGACTTCACACTTTAATCGTATCTTGACCAAATCCGATTATGCATGATTGCTGTCAGCATCAACCTTCCAAATATATTGACATTTTTATCTTTGAAAAGGGGGAAAAATGCATTAATTAGAGGATCATTTCTACTGTATGGGTTTTACTCTCCAAGCCTTTTTTTTGATGACAGGCCAGCAGTCATTTTTGATCAAACTTTCATTAACACGCTTAATTAAAAACCTCCACACACACACACACACACACACACACACACGCACGCACGCACGCACGCACGCACGCACGCACGCACGCGCGTGCGCACACACAAGGAATGCGCTGGGCAATACAAATCAGTGAGAAGAGGAACACATGCAGAGCGTGTGCTTATACAGGGCGCTGAATAATTCCATACATGATGAATTTTGACATAAACCAAACACATCATTAGCTCCTCTGTATGCGCGTCTTTACTTGCCGTCGAACAAGGAGGATTCCTTACAAAGACGCGATGGGGGATTTTTCTGGTGACTGTTGTGCTGCGAAGGGTTTGTTTTCCATGTTTTGCGGGGTTTATTTTGTTTTGCTTTAGTTCCCACTGGGCCGTATTAGAGAGCTGTGAAGGAAGTGAAAGGTACACTAGTTTTATTTAGCTCGACTTCCTTATCGTGTGGAATTGCCAGGGGCCGCTGTTTGCACATTCACAAAGTGAAATCAACCTTGTCAACCAGCCAGGGTGATTCACTCACTTTTTCAAAGAAGTAGTGTCTACTTACTGTATGTTTTTCACCAAATCAACCCTTTGCTAGTTTTTTAAATGTTTAATATGGATGAATGAGATTTTTTACACATCCAACAGCAATTCAGCGTAACAAGTTGTGACACAAAATCTTCAAGATCTTGCCAATGTGGTCGCTGTCATCTGCCCTTCATCCAGGTTGCCAACCTTCTCAGGCTCTTCCAGATCCCCCAAATAAGCTACGCGTCCACCAGCGCCAAGCTCAGTGACAAGACCCGCTACGACTACTTCGCCCGCACCGTGCCGCCTGACTTCTATCAGGCCAAGGCCATGGCTGAGATCCTGCGCTTTTTCAACTGGACCTACGTCTCCACCGTGGCGTCGGAGGGCGACTACGGAGAAACGGGCATCGAGGCCTTCGAGCAGGAGGCCCGCATGAGGAACATCTGCATTGCCACGTCAGAAAAAGTAAGCTATGGTATGATTAGGAGATGAACCGTAGACCAAGTTTTTAATTTGCATTAACGCCGGGCGTGAAACTGCACCATTTTCTTTTGCCTTTTGTTCTCAGAAGTGAAAGACTAAAAAGAGTGATGGGCAATGCCACAGATGATTGCAATGCATTAAGTAAAGTAGAGGTACTGGTTTTAACCTTTCATACAAGGCTTTATCAGAATATTGCAGCTGACCACGATCAGTTCAAAAAAATAATAAACGATCACCAATCTGATCAGAAGATGGACCAATCCAGCAAACCAATTGAAACAACTTTTTTATTTACTGTACAGTCAACCCCGGTTATTCACGGGGGATTGGGACTGGACCAATGAAAAGCGGACATGTTTGTCTAAAGGACACCCATTGTACTGCAATGGGCAACAATAGTCACAATTAAACCCTAAAAAATCTTCCCAAAAATGCTGACAAACATTCACAGATGAGAACAATAGAATTAAAAAAAATTAGACTGTATATCGGCGTGTCAAACTCATTTTTGTCACGGGCCACAATGTTGTGACAGTTTCCCTCGGAGGACCATGATGACTGTGAAACAGTACACATGTGTAATCATCCCTTTGTAATAATACATATACAGGAGGCATTAATGTATATCTAGTTTTAAAATCAAAATTCGGGAATAGTAGTTTGTTCAACCATTTATTCAAAAGCCTCTGTTAGAACATGAGAAAATGCTTGCAAAATCGTGACATAATTTTTTTACTACAGATAACAATTTGACATTTTGGTACATATTTTAACCAGTATCTGGAAGTTGACCTTGATTTTCTTTCATGGGCCACATGAAATGATGTGATGGGCCAGATCTGGCCCCCGGGCCTTGAGTTTGACACGTTTGCTGTATATGGTGAGATCCCTGAATGTCGGATTATGCGACTCCGATCCATGACATCATGGATCAATCAGCAAATTATAACATTACAACCGATCAAAGATTTTACAAAATATTTCAAATATCTGGTTCATATCCATATGATGTTCCAAATGGAACTAATATTATGCTCTGGTGTTGCTATTGCAGCAGTGTTATCAGCTCTGTAATAACCGTAGAAGCTAGTGACGGGCATTTACTGATATGATACCTCATAAAATAAACATGGTATGGATGTTTAAACAATATATATTGAGTCAGATCTTTTTTTCCATCCTGATATCAAAAACTGTAAGTGATAGGCTTGTATCAATATTTCAGTGTCCTGCAAGAAAAAAAAAAACAAATTAACTTTGACCTGGTATGTTTTCTTTCTATAAGTGAACTTTTACTCATGTGACATTTGGTTCAAAACCTTGGATTAATACAGGTGGGACGTTCCAACGCCAAAAAGTCATACGAAGCCGTAATCCGCCAACTCCTCCAGAAGCCCAACGCCCGCGTGGCCGTCCTGTTCCTGCGCAGCGACGACGCCCGAGAGCTTTTGGCCGCCGCCGCCAGGCTTAACGCCTCCTTCATCTGGGTGGCCAGCGATGGCTGGGGGGCGCAGGAGAGCATCGTCAAGGGCAACGAAGTGACTGCCGAAGGAGCCATCACGCTCGAGCTGGCCGCCAATCACGTGCCAGAGTTCAACCGCTACTTCCTCAGTCTGAACCCCAAGAAAAACCTTCGCAACCCGTGGTTCAGGGAATTCTGGGAGCAGCGCTTCCAGTGCTCACTGGGCAGCGGCGGAGGGGAAACATCTCTCCCCTTGTGCGACAAGGACCTATCCATGGACAAGAGCAACTTTGAACCCGAGTCCAAGATCATGTTTGTGGTAAATGCGGTGTACGCCATGGCCTACGCCCTTCACAATATGCAGCGCAGCCTCTGCTTCAACACCAGCACACTGTGCGATAGCATGAAGGCCTTGGATGGCCGCAGACTCTACCGGGACTTCATCCTGAACGTCAGCTTCACAGGTAAGCTTGCGTGGGGACTCCAAAGACTGCAAGGGCAAGTCTTTTTAAGATCTAACAATTGGAGTGGATAGGTGTCACAATTAAGTTTTACCTTTCTGATATCCGTAACTCCATTCTTGACTTGATGATTACGTGACAACAGTAAAATGTAAAGCAATTGAGATCTTTGTTGAACATAAAAATTTGGACACCTGGGCAAGTTTTATCATGATTAAATTCCTATTCAAATTAACGGAGTTGCATGCCGCATTCCAAAAATGAATTGCCCATCTCTGACTTGTGCTAGGATTAGCTATCTTACTTACACAGTTCTCGACGGAAGCTGTTTGGTGCCCCCTCGACAACCCTCCTGTGACACATTTGGCCACCGCCTCATGGCAAATGTCGCCGTTAGCAGCCAGTCAGCCTATTCAAGCCGCCCGCCCACAGCGGTTGCTCATCGGCTACTATGCACTGCCAAATAATACTATCCATGAATATTCAATTTCCAGTGCTAATTCACACCAGCGCACCCGCTTATGTGCGCGCCTGTTTATATGGCTTGTTTTTCCATATGGCAACCAGTCCAGGGTGTACCCTCCCTTTCATCTAGGTCATGTCGGATGGACTGCAGTTTAAATAGATGCATGAGAAAGTCACTGATGGTGTAGTGTCCTGAAGTGTCGTGGTGCATTTTCCTGACTTTCATCCAAGCCATGGCTTCAGAATGTGAGAGTGGATGGTTGTCAGTCTTGATATGTGCCCAGCAACTGAAAGTTGACCAATCCAGGTTGTTCTCAACCTCTCGCCCAAAGACAGGCCGCAGTTCACCTGTGACCCTGGTAAGGCAAAGTGCTTGACAAAATGAATGAATGAAATTTTGGGGACTTGAAAGGCAGGAAAAGAGATATGGATGGATGGATGGATGGATGGATGGATGGATGGATGGATGGATGGATGGATGAGTTTTGTTCATGAAAAGTAGCCATTGTTCTCTCCCGGGATTGTGGGGCCCATCCCAAGTAAAGCTTGTCCTTACCAAATAAGAATAGGGCTTTTTTTCTACTTCTATACTTAAGTATATTTCATTGGTCAGAATGTGTACTTTTAGCCTACTTTAAGTCAAGACATTGCATCAGTACTTAAAGTTTTACCAGTCTTTTTTTTTTAACTTTTTTTTTGTCTGTACTACTTAAGTATGGAGCGTGAGTAGTTTTGCCACCTTTTATGTACAGTAAGGACAGGGCAAGGTAAGGTAGTGTGTTGTCGAGCTGTTGTCCTTCACAGCCTCAGGATCCAAGTCCTGAGACCAATCGGTTTAATTTCCATGTATTGTTAAGCAGCAGCCGGCTATTGACAACTATTACTGGCGACACACCACGACTAAGTTGCTTTGAGCAATAAGAGCGGCGGCTAATCCACGGTGCCGTATTCTTCCCTCCTTGCACTAATGAGATTGGTTGTGTGTTATAATAGCTCCTATAGCGGGCTGCCTGCTGCCGCATCTGCAGCTCTCGACGGAGCTGCTGGAGAGAGAGAAGGAGTAAAGTGGGGATTGTGTTGATTGACAGCGCGACAGAAGCAGCGGTATAAATAAACTCAAGCGTCACAGGGACTGACACAGGTGTAGAGGTGCTTATTTCCCGCGCCCGGACATCAAAAATGCGCTAACAGGAGCACGACAGAGCTCTTCTCACTCCAAAGCCCTCCGTCGCACTGCCCTGTGCTGGGGAAATGAGTAATTACGATTGAATTTTTATTGGTGGTTGCAGCACTTCATCACCGAGCTGCCCAGTTACACTTGCCAATTCGTGTAGCGAATCATCGCCGAACCCAAATGCCCTCTCCAAAAGCCCCTCCCACAGTGCCCTGTAAAATGGGAGGCGTGATTACAGATGTATTTTCACTCGTGGAGGCAGCACTTCATCACAAAGCTGATTTGGATCTGTGCATTTGGTATTCCAAACAGAAATACCCCCCAAAGCAAGCTTCCCACACCCTCTTCAATATGGAGGCGACCTTGTAATTCCTCAGATGGGAGTTTGCTTTTTTATTTCGGTCTGTGGTTTGTTGGTTTTTTTAACAGAGCTCTCCGTGACTCATTGCCATGCCTCACATATATGCCCCTCTGTCTGAGTCGAACAGTATACATACACCCATTGCCATCTGCGGAGGCCTCAAGCAGATGGAGAGACAACAGCATTCCCGGCCAGCTCCCTGTCAATCTTCCTCAAAACATCACACTCCCGGGTTTGATGCTTGTCAGGATCTCACTACGGGAAAATGATTACTTTGTCAAATTTAGAAAATTATTTTTTCATGATTTATTTAACGTATTTTGTTTGATTACTTGTGACATAAAACATATTTTGTTTGGCATATTCTGAAATTACTTCTCAGTTGACCTTATTAAAAAAAAAAAAAAAAAAATTCTTGCGTGGTGATACTATGATTGGGTATTTTATTTAAAAATGGTATTGCTCGTCCAATCAATCAAAAACTGGCTTTTGTTTATTAAAACATTCAATTCAAAATCCTATACTCTTTTGTCAAAATACACAAAGGGCAAAGAATCAACAGCACACTTAACATCCACATTTAACACCCTGCAAAAAGTCAGCCGACACAGGTTGCAGCTCACCCGCAACTCTAATGAGGCCAAGCACTGTTTGGAAATGCATGAAGGATGGACTTGTGTGTCGCAGTGGATAATCATTGCTACTTTTTCATCACTGTTCACAAAGAGAAGTCAGGAGAAGTTTTAAAAGTGTTGAGAGGAGGGCAAGATTCCCAGGCCGCCGTTTGAAAACAGTCCAAGAGCGTGTGTTGCTTTCGGCGCACTGCTGCTGCTGCATGCGGTGTGTGTTCACATTCTGTTCATCTCGACGGTTGCTATGGTAATCAAGCAGACGGTGTTGCCAATTGTTTCGAGTCATCCGCTCGATCATGCGATGGGCCCTGTTGCTGGCCACATGCACAAAGACATTCTGTATATATCAGAGGTGATTGCTCTCAGACTGCAAGGGAAGCTCAGCGGGTGCGCGGTCCGGCGGTTGGGGACCCCTGCTTTAAACTGTGTGGACGCCGAGCGTCTACAGCGCGGACGCTGGGCGTCTCGAGAGTTCAGTGTAGGTTGTCCCAATGCATTGAAACGAGACAAGTCATTGGATAAATGCTGGTTTTGTCCCGCCCATTGGACGATCAGCGTCTCTGGGAGTCTATGGACAGGGGGCGTTTATAGGCTGGCCAGGAAGCTCAGCTTTTCTGTATGATGATTGGATGATCTGTCTGAGGCTGAATCTCTTTTTGATTGACAGCAAAATGAGCCAATCACCGATCTTATGGTGAAGGCATCCTTTTCATCTTTTTGAAAAGGAAAGGAGAGTAGAATTCACGTACGTATAAATAAACGGACACATTTTATGATGTAGGCCGAAATTGAGCTTCCCCTCCTTGACAGACCTGGTATATATGTGGATAGACGCACATGTAGACAAAAGCTGTTTTTGTTTGTTGGCTTTTTAGAAAGGCAGCTTTTCTTTTTTAACTCGCATGAAATTGCAGACACGCAACCCACACAGAAACAGACACCTCTACCAGCTATCAACCACCCACTCGCCTCCTCTGATGTGCAGCAAACACAAACACACCAACACACGCACACACAAACTCGCAAGCACAAATGATGATGTATGAGAGACACCCAAGCCATGTGTTTTAGTTTATCTTCCTATCTTGGTGGGGGTCGAACTATGATTTATTTAACGTATTTTGTTTGATTACTTGTGACATAAAACATATTTTGTTTGGCATATTCTGAAATTACTTCTCAGTTGACCTTATTAAAAAAAAAAAAAAAAAAAATTCTGCGTGGTGATACTATGATTGGGTATTTTATTTAAAAATGGTATTGCTCGTCCAATCAATCAAAAACTGGCTTTTGTTTATTAAAACATTCAATTCAAAATCCTATACTCTTTTGTCAAAATACACAAAGGGCAAAGAATCAACAGCACACTTAACATCCACATTTAACACCCTGCAAAAAGTCAGCCGACACAGGTTGCAGCTCACCCGCAACTCTAATGAGGCCAAGCACTGTTTGGAAATGCATGAAGGATGGACTTGTGTGTCGCAGTGGATAATCATTGCTACTTTTTCATCACTGTTCACAAAGAGAAGTCAGGAGAAGTTTTAAAAGTGTTGAGAGGAGGGCAAGATTCCCAGGCCGCCGTTTGAAAACAGTCCAAGAGCGTGTGTTGCTTTCGGCGCACTGCTGCTGCTGCATGCGGTGTGTGTTCACATTCTGTTCATCTCGACGGTTGCTATGGTAATCAAGCAGACGGTGTTGCCAATTGTTTCGAGTCATCCGCTCGATCATGCGATGGGCCCTGTTGCTGGCCACATGCACAAAGACATTCTGTATATATCAGAGGTGATTGCTCTCAGACTGCAAGGGAAGCTCAGCTTCCCCTAAAATGTCAAAAAGTAAGTGATCAAATATATGTGTGCACGTACAATTGTGTGTACATGTCATTAACTAAATATGCGCTACAACCCGCTCAACTTTTGTTCCGAATCAGCTTCTTATTACTGGTTACGACGCGACTCTCTTCTCATTCATTCCCACAGCTTCACTGTGCTTTAAACTGTGTGGACGCTGAGCGTCGATCGCGCGGACGCTGGGCGTCTAGAGAGTTCAGTGTAGGTTGTCCCAATGTATTGAAACGAGACGAGTCATTGGACGCTCAGCGTCTCTGAGAGTCTATGGACAGTGGGCGGGGATCGTTTATAGGCTGGCCAGGAAGCTCAGCTTTTCTGTATGATGATTGGATGATCTGTCTGAGGCTGAATCTCTTTTTGATTGACAGCAAAATGAGCCAATCACCGATCTTATGGTGAAGGCATCCTTTTCATCTTTTTGAAAAGGAAAGGAGAGTAGAATTCACGTACGTATAAATAAACGGACACATTTTATGATGTAGGCCGAAATTGAGCTTCCCCTCCTTGACAGACCTGGT